CAAAGAAGAAAATGGCAGCTCAAAGGAGGCTTATTTAAGCAAGAGTTTAAAGCTTAGACTTTAACAACAGATTGGATTTAGTTGAGTGAAGGAGAGAGAAAGTCTGCAGAGAAGGGGAGTAGAACATGGAGGTAGAAGGGAGTACTCACTTTAGGGTAACCATTAATAGTTCCAAACTCATGAAGGATAGGGGGGATGTAGGAGAATGCGTAACTTACAAGCCTCTTTTTCCCCAAGGACAGATTACATTGTGTTAAGGAGTTTAAATTTTATTTGAGGGAATGGGGAACAATGCAAAATTTTATTTTGAGGGAATGGGGAACAACAACAAGATCAGATTTGCCCTTCACATGTATGATGATGACAGCCCTGTGGCTTACCCAAGGGGTAAGATGGGGAGGAGACAGACTTGAGCTAAAAGATTATAATAACCTAGGGGAAACCCTAATGTAGTGACAATGAGGATTAAATGGGACAGATTATAAGATGTTAAGATGGTAGAATTAAAAGGAGCTGGGGCTTTATTTATGAATAATGGAATGTATGAAATAATTTTACAATTCACTTTTTATTGGTCTTGGACAACTGAGTAGACAATGGAACCCTTCACTGTCAGGGAACATAAAAATGGCATAGATATGTCAGCAAAGAAATGTTCAGTTCTGCACAGCTGAAGTTGAAGTGATTGAGTACATCTAAGAGAGGAAGGTATCTAGCAGAATACAGATGTCTGGAACATAAAAAGATGGTGGAGGAATAGACTTAATTGTCATAAGAATAAAATTGGTAGCTGAAGTCATGGGGGTGTTTAATATCACCACAGGAGGAAGGCTATGGATGAAACAACTTATAAGGGGTGGAATATATACATGGTAAGCCCCAAAAGTAGGCTAAGAAAATACTCAGAAAGCTTTCAGAAATAAGTAGCGGCAGCCAATGGATGATGATGGTTTCAAGAAGGCTTACCTTCTTTCAGAGAAATTTAGAAATAAAGAGCCTGAAGTGTGTTACTGGTATTGAAGAAATAGGAGATGATATATTTGATCACTGTGTTAGAATTACCTAGTGCTTGTTTAAAGATTAGATTCCTAGTCCTTCTGAACTGAGATTTCTTAGGGTGGGAAAAGAGTGTATATTTTAACAAGGTCCCCAATAAACTTCACTTTCAGGTCTGAGAATAACTATGGCAGACTTTAAACTCCTTTAGAACAGGATCTTGTTTAATTTTTTTTTTTTTTTAAGATTTTATTTATTTATTTGAGACAGAGAGAATGAGAGAGAGCACATGAGAGGGGGGAGGGCCAGAGGGAGAAGCAGACTCCCTGCCGAGCAGGGAGCCCGATGCGGGACTCGATCCCGGGACTCCAGGATCATGACCTGAGCCGAAGGCAGTCGCTTAACCAACTGAGCCACCCAGGTGCCCCAGATCTTGTTTAATTCATCATGTATCCTTAGTGCTCATCACAGCATTTGCCATATAACAGGTCCTCAATAAATATGAAGTAACTTAAGGATGACAGTAGTGAATGGACAGACAGATGAACACATAGCTGAATGAAAGAACTAAAGAACTAATGTCTTTGCCAAAATCTTGGTAGGATTATTGGAGCTTACATTCTGGTGGGGTGGGGGAAGGGGTGACAGATAATATACACATAAGCAGACAGACGATTTGTAGACATAATTTGTAGAGATCTGTGTTAGCTAGGGTAGTTGGGGAAAGATTTTCTGAGGAGGGAGCATCTGAGTTGTCACTTAAATTACGAGAAAGCATTAACCATGTGGCGGTCTGAGGGAAAAAAACATTTGAGGCAGAACAAAGCCCTAAGGAGAAAAGGGGTGAATAAAGTGTATTTAGGTAATAAGGAGGCATCTGTGGCTCAGGCTCAGTGAGTTAGATAGAGGCTGGTGGAAAATGAGGATGCTGATCATATACAGTTTCATCGGTTGTGATCTCATAGGAATTTGGATGTTATTCTATGAGAAACTACTTAAATTTTAAACAAAGCAGCGATGTGATTTGATTTACACTTTAAAAAAATTACTCTGGCATCTATATGAATAATGGATCCTAGCAGGGCAATGGTGGAAGTAAGCAGACCAGTTAGGGGTTGATGAAGTATTCCAGACAAGAGATGATTATCTTGTGGTGGTAGCACCAGAGACAGTGAGAAGTGTTTGAGTTTAGAATATATTCTGGAGATAGAGAAGACAAGACCATGCTAATGGGTTGGCCAGAGTTAAGTAAGGGAAAGAGGAGTCTAAAGAATTTGGATTTTAGCCAGTAAGCAATGGGACTCAAAGTTTTGAAGTGAATGAGTGACAATTACAGTAGAATATATTAGAACAGTTACCTTGAAGCAGTAAGCAAAATGAATTCTTTGGGAAATAAAATGGAAGATAGAGGCAAATTTGGAGTTGTCAGTAATACTCTAGGCCTGAAGTGACAGGCACTGAATTAAGGTGATGACAAAAGGAATGGCAAAAAGTAATGGATATAAAGGCCACAATCAAGTTTATGGAGATTTAATTTGCAGTGCCTTTAGGCACTAGGACTTAGCAGAGAAATTTGGGCTAGAAATATTTGGGAGTCATCCAAATATAGCTAGTTTTTAAAGCCATGTGAGTGACTGAGATCATCCAGAAAAAGGCGATGGAGTGAAAATGGAGCCTAGGCTAGGAACTGGCAAAAGAGACTAAGAGTGACGAGAACAAAGGAGAAAAACTAGGAGAATGTGGCATCATGGATGCTGATGGAAGCATTTTAAGGAGGAGTGTTTAAAACTGTCAAATAAGGGCTAAGAAGTGTTGGTTGGATTTGCTAAAAGAGAGATCTTGCATGATCTTTGTCAGAGCTGTATCCATTTAGAGGTGGAAAAAGAAGCAAGGCTTCAGGTATACGAGGTGTCTGAGACATGAAGAAGCACTGACCATCAACATGGATAACACTGAACTTTTTGGTTTTGAAGCAAAGAAGAGAAGTAGCTAGAGGAATAACTAGAGTGGAGGGAGGGAATCTTCAGAATGGCAGAGATGGTGGTATGTTACAATATGATGTGAGAATGAGGAGGAAGCTACTGGAGAGGGTGAGTGATTGCTGCTCATGGGATCCAGAGCACAGGAAGGAGGTGAGCCATATGTGGGAGGAAGTGTACTTCTCCCAGTTACAGGAAGCAAAAATATGCAAGGGTGGTGCTCAGAGGCAGAGGGATTCCCAGGATGATGGCTTCTATTTTCTTTGTGAAGAAACAAACCATCCACTCAAAAGTGAGGGGAAAAATGAAGGGGACTGAATTTTGAGGACAGCAGAGAAGAAATGCAATAGCCATTATGGAGAATGGGTACATAAGTTTTCCAGAGAAATATGAGATTGCTTGGCCATGCTGAAGATTGAATAAAATGATTTCTGCAATTTTGTGTTTAAATATTCTATGATAATATCCAGGTTAACTCATGATTGACATCATGGCAATCCCAAGCCTTATACGTCTATTCTACAAAGAACCTCTACATGTTTGACACCTGAACTCATAACTTTAAATTTGTGGAGCAGCTTACAAAAAGCTCTTTTGTCAAAGCCCCAGTCTCTCATTTCTCAAGTTCTCTTTCTTTTACACCCATAAATTTAATTTCATTATTTATCTACATTGTTTTTTTCAGAAGCAAAATATAATCTGATGATAGGGAACAGATGTGAACATAGATACAATGTTGGCCATAACACAAACTGCTGCGAGAAAAGTCCTATCAGAGTAACATAAAAAAACATGTCATCAACTTAAATTATCTAGAAATCAAATATAATTTGTCACAATTATATTATCATTTCATTTTAATTTTTATCTTTACTATTTGCCTCACATATATTAGATGCTTACTGATGTTTAGAGAAAAAAGGAATAAGCATTTCAGGGATTTCTAAGCATTTGGTACATATTGATAAACCATAAAATAATCAAGTGCAAATAACTGAAGGAAAATCCAAAAACCATAAAGTTAGTAAAGAAGGTAGTAACTGCTAGCACATCACAGCAATTGTATTAACAATGTCCAGAGACAATGTTGACAAATTAAGAGATGGGGAGGGGAACATGATAATTTATTAGAGGAGTTCAGTTCTTTCATAGAAGCAAGGTAATTTTCTTTTTTCCATCATAATTGTGAAATGAAATACTCTCATCATTATACTCCTTTAGTTATCATTGCCATGCGAATAACATTTGCCCCAATTTCTCATAAAATATAGTAATAACAGTTAACAGAAAATAATGAAAATGACTAAATCTTCTTCAAAGTTTAGAACACATTTAGGATTTGACAATGATAATGGGTTAAATGATTGTTACTTGAAACCTTAAAATAATTTTTTTTTTGCTATTCTGCAAGTTAATTTCCTAATTGGTAAAAGAAAAGAGGTTAGATTAGATCATCTCTGAAGGAAGTTCCTACTCACATTTTTGATTGAAAAGCATCTGATCACAGAGACTATCAGCTACTTTAGGAGTATAGTACTTCATATATAGCATACAAAGTCCATGTTAATTAAAAAAAACCTTCTGACAGGACAGTTTCCTTTTAGGAATAGCTTACTTCTTTATTCAGACCAAAAACCTGGTAATGATTTTCATAATTAATTTTTGATATCTTCATATCCATTAGAAGTTAATTTTTTTTCACAAAACTATATCATGAATGCCATCAGAGTTTTTCCAAAACAAAATTAATTTTATTTTTTTTATTTTTATTTTTTAAAGATTTTATTTATTTATTCATGAGAGACAGAGAGAAACAGAGGGAGAAGCAGGCTCCCAAGGAGCAGGAAGCCTGATGCGGGACTCGATCCCAGGACCCTGGGATCATGACCTGAGCCGAAGGCAGACGCTTAACCATCTGAGCCACCCAGGCGCCCCAACAAAATTAATTTTATAATCATCATATCATGGCCTTATTTTTTTCTTCCTTTAGATGCCTATATTTTGAGAAATAGTATAAATTCTTACCTCTAAGAGATAAGGTTCCATTTGATCCAGGGTTTTTCCAAGATGCTTATCTGGATCTAAACCTGCCAAGAAAGATTACATTTTTTTGTTTTTTTTTTAGGTAATTATCAGATTGGAAGTCTAAAGACATATTCCCCTTCCCTTGGTCTCTCCTTGCCTAGGAAACCAGTATGTGATTATTTCAAATTGCTTTGATCCTAAAGTAAAATGTATTTGGCTCATATTTACTTTCCTAATCCCCTTGGGTAACTGGTTTTCTTGCTCCTGAAAAATAAGTTCCATACCAAATCATTTCATTGCACTGTGTCAACTTCCAGATGCATTGTTTTAATTCATTTTTGAGCAACTGTAATTTAGTTGGAAAAACAGGTATCATTTCAAACATGACATTTATGTCCTTGGTATTTTAATTATTATGGTTATTTTACTCATGGACAATAGTGAGAATTTTCTTATGTATCCCTGTTTTATCTAACTTTAAAATTCTAACTTAGAGAGTAAGAGTAGAAAATAGAAGAGTGGTAGACCCTTATGCCTATATAATTAATTCACTTCATAGAAGGACACAGATACGGACACAAATAATTGTATTCTCAAATTAAAGGACACTTCATTTCAATGACCACTTGTGTGATAATATATTTTCTAAACAAAGATAGAGACAACTCTGAAAAATCCTTATTATACCAATGGCATGTGCACAATCTTAGATAAAGATGTTTAACTACAGAGTTTATGTAGGTGATAAGGTATAGGTAGACAAGTATGGGCAATAAACTCTTCCCACATACCAAAACTAACTTGCCAGGGAAGAAAAAGTCACATGCCACAAGTTTGCTATGAAATGAAAGAATTCATTTTAGATATTACATCCATAATACATTTAGATATTTATATACATAATACATGTATTGACTTAGTCTCATTTAAATAAGTTATTTTTATTTTTTGTTGGCTTAAATTATTTAGCTTATTAATTACACAAACTGATTAATCATTTTCTGCTTCTAGTTGGATGCCTTTTTTGGTAACATGTTATTTCTTATATCACATATCAGAAGAAGGGAAGTCAGGCAAAGATTGAAAACTCTTCTGCCACTGAGTATTTTTAGGTGAAACTCAAAGCAAACAACTCAGATCAACAGCACTAGACAGATTTTTCGTGTCAACTCCCTTCACAGCAATCTTATTCTCATGGTATATTCGCTAAAATTAAAATTTCAAGGAGATGGGTGAACATATAGATGAACCAATCACTGATTCTGTCCAGTTCCTCTACTTCTACCACTATTTAGCAATTCAGTATTTAGAATGAATAAGTAAATGAAATACTTTGAAAGAAACACCCATGTAATCACCACCCAGATTTAACAAGCATTAATGTGCTGTATTTCCTCTACAACATTTTTTTAAAAGAAATAACCACCACCAACACAATAGAACATAACAGTATATCTACTCTTAATCTATATCCCCTACACTTCTACATGGTAACCACTCTTGAAGTTGGTGAGTTACTAATAATGCTTTTATAATTTTACTACAAATTATGTATCCAAACAGTATTTAGTATTGTTCAGGTATATTAAATTTTTACATGAATAATACAAACTTTAATTTGATTTTTTAAATTCACATTGTTGAGATTTACTTATATTGATTACCATGGCTCTGGTCCATTCATTTTTATTATTGTATTCTATTCCACTATATGGATATGCCAGAATTTAATTCTACATTTTCCAGTAGATGGGTATTTGGGCCCTGGGTTGTTCCTAATTTCTGTTTTGCCACAAGCACTTTTTATGCTGCAGTGAATATGCTTTTATGTGAAATTACCATGATATATAATTATATATATTACTGTATATATGCATGTGTATGTGTATAATCTTTAAGTCTATTAGATATTGCCAAATTGCTCTTCAAAGCAGTATTAACCAATTTGTACTTCCACTATCAGGACATAGAATTCCTACTTCACATAATGCAAAAATAATTTAGTGGTGTCAGAATTTTAAATCTTTGCTAATCTGATATATAAATATATATAAAATTGTTTTAGATACTTGTTTTCATTTTCTTTTCTTTTTTTTTTTTTAACGTTTTATTTATTTATTTGACAGAGAGAGACACAGCGAGAGAGGGAACACAAGCAGGGGGAGGTGGGGGAGGGAGAAGCAGGCTTCCCGCCAAGCAGGGAGCCCGATGCGGGGCTCGATCCCAGGACCCTGGGACCATGACCTGAGCCGAAGGCAGACCCTTAATGACTGAGCCACCCAGGCACCCCTAATTTTCATTTTCTGATTATTATTAAAAGTAAGAACCATACCCAACACAGACGGTTTCCCAGGTGAATTCTACTAAATATTTAAGGAAGAGTTAATACTTACTCTTCTCGAACTATTCCAAAAAGTAGAAGAGAAGGAAAACTTCCAAATTCATTCTATAAGGCCCACATTACCCTGATAATGAAAATCAGATAAAGAAACTACAGAAAAAGAAAACTACAGGCCAATACCTCTGATGAACATAGATGAAAATCCACAGTAAGATATTAGCAAACTGAATCCAACAATACATTAAAAAAAAAAATTATTCACCATGATCATGTGGGATTTATTCCAGGGATACAAGGGTGGTTCAATATTTGCAAACCAATCAAAATGATACACCAAGTTAGCAAAATAAAGGATAACAGCTATATGATCATGTCAATAGATGCAGAAAAAGCATTTGACAAAGTACAACCTTCATTCATGATAAAAACTCTCAACAAAGTAGGTTTAGAAGGAACATAGCTCAACATAATAAAGGCCATATATGAAAAACCTACAGCTAACTTCATTCTAAATTGTGAAAAACAAAGCTCTTCCTCTAACATCAGGAACAAGATAAGGATGTCCACTCTCTTCCCTTTTATTTAATATAGTACTAGAGGGTGCCTGGGTGGCACAGTCGTTAAGCATCTGCTTTCGGCTCAGGTCATGACCCCAGGGTCCTGGGATCAATTCCCACATCAGGCTCCCTGCTTGGTGGGAAGCCTGCTTCTCCCTCTCCCACTCCCCCTGCTTGTGTTCCTGCTCTTGCTCTCTCTCTCTCTCTGTCAAATAAATAAATAAATAAATCTTCAAACAAACAAACAAACAAGATAGTACCAGAAGTCCTAGACATAGCAATCAGGCAAAAAAAAGACGTAAAAGGCATCCAAATTGGTAAGGAATAAGTAAAATTTTCACTATTTGCAAATGACATGATACTATATAATATATGGAAAACCCTAAAGACTCCACCAAAAAAACTGCTAAAACTGATATATAGATTTAATAAAGTTGTTAGATAGAAAATTAATACACAAAAAATCTGCTGCATTCTTATACACTAATGAGATAGCAGAAAGAGAAATTAAGAAAATAATTCCATTTAAAATAGCACCAAAAAGAACAAAATGCCTATGAATAAACTTAACAAAGGAAGTGAAAGACCTATACTTCAAAAAGCTATAGATCAATGGTGAAATAAATTGAACTTGACACAAACAAACGGAAAGCTATTGCATGATCATTGATTGGAAGAACCAATACTGTTAAAATGTCCATAGCACCTGAAGCAATCTACAGATTTAATGCAATCCCTATCAAAATACCAATAACATTTTCCATGGAACTAGAACAAATAGTCCTAAAATTATATGGAACCACAAAAGACCCCAAATAGCCAAAGCGATCTTGAGAAAAAAGAACAAAGCTGGAGGTATCACAATTCCAGAATTCAGGATATAGTATAAAGCTTTAGTGAGGGGCGCCTGGGTGGCTCAGTTGGTTAAGCGACTGCCTTCGGCTCAGGTCATGATCCTGGAGTCCCGAGATCGAGTCCCACATCGGGCTCCCTGCTCGGCGGGGAGTCTGCTTCTCCCTCTGACCCTCCTCCCTCTCATGCTCTCTGTCTCTCATTGTCTCTCTTGCAAATAAATAAAATCTTAAAAAAAAAAAAAAAGAAAAGCTTTAGTGATAAAAACAGTATGGTACTTGGACAAAATAGGGTTATATAGATCAATGGAACATAGATCTATAGTTACAGAGATCAATGGAACAGAATGGAGAACACAGAAATAAACCCACACATTTATGGTCAATTAATCTATGACAAAGGAGGGAAGAATAAAGAATATACAATGGGGAAAAGACAGTCTCCAATAAATGGTGCTGGGAAAACCAGACAGCTACATGCAAAAGAATGAAACTGGACCACTTTCTTATCCCATATACAAAAATAAAATGGATTAAAGACCTAAATGTGAGACCTAAATTCATAAAACTCCTAGAAGAAAAAATAGGTAGTAATTTCTTTGACATCAGCCATAGAAACATTTTTCTAGATATGTCTCCTAAGGCAAGGGAAACAAAGGCAAAATCCAACTACTGGGACTACACCAAAATAAAAAGCTTTTGCACTGTGAAGGAAACCATCAACAAAACAAAAAGCAACTACTGAATAGGTTATTTGCAAATGATATACCCGGTAAGGGGTTAATATCCAGAATATATAAAGGGGAATTTGCATAACTCAACATCAAAAAACTCCCACAAATAATCTATTTAAAAATCAGCAAGAACCTGAATGGACATTTTTTTCAAAGACATACATATGGCCAACAGACACATGAAAAAATGCTCAAAATCACTCATCATCAGGGTAATGCAAATTAAAACCATAAAGAGGTATCAATTTACACCTGTTGTAATGGCTAAAATAAAAAAACACAAGAAAGAAGTATTTGTGAACATGTGGAGACAAAGGAACCCTTGTGCATTGTTGGCGGGACTGCAAACTGGTGCAGCCAATGTGGAAAACAGTATGGAGGTTCCTGAAAAAATTACGCTTTATGTATTTGAGAGCTATGTTGTTATGTGCATACACACTCACAATTTCTAAAACTTTTTGATAAGATTATTCCTTTTATCAACAAGTGATGACCTACTCATCTGCATATATCTTCATACATGATTTTTATCTTATATTCTATTTATCAACATTACAACACCAACTTTATTTTGTTAAT